GCTTTTTTTTTTTTTTGCTTATGTGGTGCTGAGGAATCGAAACCAGGGCCTTATGCATGCAAGGCAAGCGCTCTACCACTGAGCCACCTTCCCAGCCCCACAAATAGTATATTTTACAAAAACAATTTCCATCTTTTTTTGGCTACTTTTTTGGAGAAAAGAGTATCATAGCCAGGCACCCGGTGGCTCATGCCTATAATCCTAGCTACTCAGGAAGTTGAGATGTGAGGATCGTGGTTCAAAGCCAGTCTGAGCAGGAAAGTTCAGGAGACTCTTATCTCTAATAAACTACTCAGAAAAAGCCAGAAGTGGCATTGTGGTGCTAACCTTGAGCACAGAGAGGCTCATGGACAGAGCCCAGGTATTGAGTTCAAGGCCGGGCTGTCTTTAAATCACAATTCTCAAATCTTAGCCATTACAGATGTGAGCCTCCAGCACCAGCTGCTAATACTGTTATTTAAAACCTGACAATGTGATGTGACTGCACCCACTGACTCTCTCTGTCTGTCACTGTCATCAGCCCCTTCAGAGGTGAGATGTGCTGAGCTATTGCTCAATGTACCACTCACTGGTTTCCTGGCATTGCTCCATCATTTACACATTGCTACTTAATGCTATTATTTTCATGTAGCCAATTCCTATTCTGTGATGTTCACAGTTAGATCTTTGTTATTTTGTGAATTATACATGTACTGTCACGTAACTCCTTATTATCTGCTCTGTAAAACATGTCTTAGGCTTGAGGACTATTATCCCCTGTAAGAGGAACAGTATTTTAAGCTCAGTCATTCATATTAAGCTGAGTGTATCTCATTAAATTTGATGGCCTCACCATCATTTCTCAACCTAACTCCAACTGAGATTTCATTTTACTTGTTTTGCTGCTGCCTAATTTTTTTTAATTGTTTGGGAGGGGCCTCTATTTGTTATGAAAATTTGATTTCTGCCTGTTTCATCTTAATACTATTTTTTTTTCCCCCCTCTTCTCCTCCTCTGTGGTATAGTATTAGGGTTTGAACCCAGGGCCTCATGCTCTCTAGCCTTTCCAGGTCATGGATAATACTCTATCACTTCAGCCAGACATCCAGTTCCAGCTTTTTGCAGGTTAATTGTAGGTTTATGTGCCTGGGCTGGCTTCAAACTTGATCTGAGGATCTCAGCCTCCTGAGTAGCCAGCCTTTATACTGTTACAACCTTAACTATAGGTGCTTCCTTGATCTTACCACGTATTTGAGAACTCCTGAAGAGGACCCAGGGTTTTGGCTCAGTGGTAGAGCATTTGCCTGATATGTACATCCAATGCCCACCACCTCAATATGCTAGAAAAAGAAGACCACTTTTCTGCTGTAAAATATGACTGAGGTCACAAGGTAATCCTTTTGTGATGGAGAAAAAAAAAATCAGTCTAGGGGCTTGAAGTGTTACTCAGTAGCAGAACATATGCTTGCCATGTGTGAATGCTGGGGTTAAATCCTCAGCCTCCATAAACAAATGAACAACAAAACAACACATATCCTACAGAATATTAGTATTTTCAAATATGATTTACTTAAATCTAAGTGTTATAATTATCTAAACTTTTTTTTTTTTAACTAGGATGAGAAGTAAGTTTGACTTACTTGATCTTTCCTTCCACTAATCGTTAAGTTACTTATGGCCCAAGCAGCTTCTTTCTGAGTGCCAAAATCCCCCTAAAAAAAAAAAAAAAGGCAGAAAGAAAAGGCTATTAAATGTAAGGTAGTAAGGTAGGAACACTCAAAAAGATGTTATATGAAATAACTGCTTATCCCAACTTTCATTTTAGCTAATGTGTGTGTGTGTGTGTGTGTGTATTTACTTAAACTATAATCAATCTGCCTTCAACAAGCAGAAGCTTTTTTGGTGAACTCTCCTAAAAATAACTGACATATTACTGTTCAATAATATCAGATTAAAAAAAGTCAATAAAATGAAGTAAGATTGCTGGGCACCAGTGGCTCACACCTGTAATCCTAGGTACTCTGAAAGTTAAGATCTGAGTATTATGGTTTAAAGCTATCTTTAGCGGGAAAGTCCATGAAACTCTTTGGAAAAATCTGTAATTTATAAGCAATATAAATACAAATTTAAAATATTTAAAAAAGCCTACGACTTGGTACCACGAAAATGATTTAAAATTATCAACTGTATACCTTCTTGTATATGGTCACAGTAGCAAAAAAGTTAAACTAAAATTCTCAACAGAAAGGATGTGGCTTACAGACCATCTACAGGGAATAAGACGTAACTATTAAAAGTATGATTAGCAACATACACACTCAAAGAATAGCACTGAGCTACCTTTTCCTATCTATCAAACTTAGAAAATGTAAATATTTACCAATTAGTACAAAAGGGTCTATAAATCTTTTTTTTTCATTGTGAAAATACCGTACAGAGGGGTTACAATTACATAGGCAAGATGATGAGTGCATTTCTTATCAAACATTGTTGTCTCCTCCTTTGAAGGGTCTATAAATCTTGAGAGTAACCACAATATACAGTAAAATTCATATGATTTGTATATTTATAACCTGGATTCAAAGTGGAAAAAATATGTGAGCTATTCTTGGAAGTATCACTATAGTATATCTATATGTATATATATATATTTATATATATTTTTAATTTATTTTTTGTTGGTCACGGAGCTGAACTCTGGGCCTGGGTGCTGTCCCTCAGCTCTTCAGCTGAAGGCTAGTGTCTTACCACTTGAGCCACAGTACCACTTCCGGCTTTCTTATGCTTATGTGGTGCTGAGGAATCAAACCCAGGGCCTCATGCATACCAGATAAACACTCTAACACTGAGCCAACTTCCCAGCCCCCACAATTTATATTTAACAGTAATAACAAATAAGGAAGGTATCTATATAGTGATCTGAGGGTTGTCTTAGGATATACTTCTTTCAAAAGGTAGAGTAGTGGGAGATGGATATGGTGTATTATTCCTGAGTAGGATGAAAGGATATATGTAAGCAAATACCCATTTGCCTATTTTGTATAAAGCAACTAAGGATAGCCAAAACTAAAAAAATGGGCCAGGTGAATCGGCTCAAGCCTCATCACATGATCCTAGCTGCTCAGGACATGGAGATCAGAAAGACAGGTTTGAGGCCATCACGGAAAGTTTCCAAAACTCCCATTTCAACCAATAAAAGCTGGGTACAAGCACTGCTTGTGCCTGTAATCCTAGCGATTCGGGAAGCATAACAGAATTGAGGGTCAATTCAGCTGGCCAGGGTATAAATGTGAAACCCTATTAGTAACAAAAAAAGGAAAAAGTTTTGAGGTGGTAAAAAGGCACACGTTCAAACCCAGTACAGTAAACAACAAAAACTCGAACTGGAAGAATGAGAAGAAAAAACTGAGTGAGGGCAAGAGTAGCCTTGAGTTCAAACCCTAGTACTCGAACAAAAACAAAAAGGAAACATTCATTCTCTTACCTTATCCAAAAGGTGTATTATCATTGGTACAAGATTGGCATCAATTACTGCCTGCACCTGTTGTTGATTTCCAGCGGTGATGTTAGAGAGAAACCATACTGCTTCCTGTGGAACAAGACCTCATTAGTACTTCATAAAAAATAAAATTTGAGCTGGGCGCTGGTGGTTCACGCCTGTAATCCTAGCTGCTCAGGAGGCTGAGATCTGAGGATCACGGTTCAAAGCCAGCCCGGGCAGGAAATTCCGTGAGACTCTTTATCTCCAATAAACCACTGGAAAACCTGAAGTAGCTCTGTGGCTCAAGTGGTAGAACGCTTGCCTTGCACTGAAAAGGGCAGGGACAGTGCCCAGGCCCAGAGTTCAAGCCCCATGACTGACACACCTGTAATCTTAGCCACATGAGGAGGCTGAAGTCTAAGGATCGAAGTTCAAAGACAGCTTGGGCAAGAGAGTCTGTGAGACTCTTATCGCCAATTATTCACCAAAAAGCCCAAGTGGAGCTGTGGCTCAAGTGGTAGAGCAATAAGCCTTGAGCACCCAGGTCCCAAGTTCAAGCCCCAGAACCAGCACCAAAAAAACAAATAAACAAAACTGAACTAAGAAAAAGCAGCAGTCACTGATGAATGAATTACAAAATAAAAATCTTGGAAATCTCAATTCTTCTACCTCTGTCCATATTTTCTTTGGACAAATCACCAATGCCCTCTAATACAAGTCATACAGAACTAGCCCTTCAAAAGAATTCTTTAAAGATAATACTGTCAAACAGTATGACAAAAAAAAAACAAAAAAAAAAAAACCCAAAAACAAAAAAGTATGGCTGGACAGCAAGGAACTGAAACACAGAGGCCCTAACACTTGTGAGGCTCAATAACCTTTCCTCACATATTGTGCTTTTTAGTCTATCCTAAACAAGCCCAGCCAAAGCAGATAAATTTCAATTATTCATGATAATAGAAACATCAGAAATCAAACAGCAGGTTGTCATACCCTTATGCATTACAGTCATTCATTGCATCATTACCTTCTAGAGCAGAAGTGAAACCGGATGCTCCCCCGTGTTCTTAGTCTATCTTAATGACCTGTGAATGCTGGCCTTTGCCCTACAATGATGCTATACTTTTGGCCAACGTGGGTTTTTTTTTGCTGGTCCTGGGACTTGAACTTGGGTCCTGGGCACTGTCCCTGAGCTTCTTTTGTAGCATGCTACCACTTCAGCCACAGTGCCACTTCTGGCTTTTTCTGTTTATGTGGTACTAAGGAATCGAACCCAGGTTTTGTGCAAGCTAGGCAAGCACTCTACTACCACCAAGCCACTTTCCCAGCCCATGTGGGTTCTTAAGTGTGCTGAGAAGTTCAAAGACAATAAATATATTACTAAAACCATCATTAGCAAGAAACAAGTATCTAATATTCTATTGAGGAAGGTATTGTTAGAATGTACCAACTTAAACTGACTAAATTTAGCTACATCATCTCTTTTTCTGACAGGTACTAAAATATGTTTTACATTAAAAATATTGTCAATTAGGCTCTTTTGGATCAGATCACAGGATCATGTTCTATGAACCTGTTGGAGATTTGAGGGTGCTGGGCTAGGCAGGTGAGCTATTGTTGGGTTATAATCATCAGCAATGCTGTAATCAAAGCCTGGTTTGTCTACAACAGCCTCAGATGCACTCCAATATCAGCATCACCGCTCAGTGCCCCCCTTCCATAGCCGCCACACACACAGGAACACACACACACACAAACACACACTATTAACTATCTACAAAATACTAAGCTAGAATTACTCAACATACATATAAAATTTTTCCAGTCATGCATCATTCAACACCCAAGTATCTCCATTTCATCATTTCCAATAGAGCCAAAGAGTGGCCAGCCCAGGGGCAGAGCACCCTATCCACAAAAACTCATTTTTTAAAAGTTTTCTTCATATATGCCATATTGCTCTGTATGCTATAGTGAATTATGTTCTTTTGGTATCTAAGTGATACTTTTAACAAATGAAAACTATCCTTCTATGTGCTCTGAAACTGTTCCACAACACTTACTTTGTTAATTTTCTCTTTAGGATGAGTCAGGAGCGCTGGGAAGTGTGAGAGAGCATCACAGTTCAAAACTATCTGTGTTTGCTCATCAGTCCCAGTAACGATGTTGCCCACGGCTCGAAGTGCAGCGGTCTGCAATGCAAAGAAGTCAGTGAAAGGCTGTTCCACTGCTATGGGACAGCTTATGAATGACAGGTGCACCCATCCCAACTAGCCTATCCTCTCTGGGTACTTCCTTTATGTCAGAAAATGATACAAATTCCAGATTTTATGAAACTTTAATTTTTTTTTGTCAGTCATGGGGGGGCTTGAACTCTAGGCTTGGGCACTGTCCCTGCGCTCTTCAGCTCAAGGTGAGTGCTCTACTGCTTGAGCCACAATGCCACTTCCGATTTTCCAGTGATTTACTGGAGATAAGAGTCTCATGGACTTTTCTACCCAGGTTGGCTTTGAACCGTGATCCTCAGCTCTCAGCCTCCTGAGCAGCTAGGATTACAGGCATGAGCCACCAGCACCTGGCTGAAACTTTAATTTTTGTGAGTCAATAAACGAGGCTAATTTCAGGAAATAATTGGTGCCAGAAGATAGTACTTTAATCCTTCTCTATTAAATAATTTCCCCTCTAATTTCTTTCCTTTGAAAAATACAAATGACCCCAGTACTTAAAAGACTTGATATAGCAATACATATACAGATCCAGGTTATCATGACTACAATCCTAGCTACTCAGGAGGCTGAGATCTGAGGATCCAGGTCTGAAGCCAGCCACAGGAGAAAAATTTGAGTCTTATCTCTAATTAACCAGCAAAAGTACAGACGTGGAGGTGGCTCAAGTGGTAGAGGGCCAACTTTGAGTAGCTCTGAGTTCAAATCCCAGTATTAATACCAAAAGAGCCTAAGCTATAATCTACAAAATAATTCATCCTTTCAAAGTATACAATTCCCTACTTCTTAGCATAATCAAAGTTGCATACTTTTACCAGTGTTTAATTCTGGAACATTTATGTTATTCCCAAAGAACAGTTTTGTCCATTAGCAGTCAGCCCTGCTGTCCTTCAATCCTAGTTCTCCATGCCTACCTCCATGTCTACTTGTATATTCTGGGCATTTTGTATACAGAGTAACAGGTCTACGTTACTGCGTTTATTAGTACCTATTCCTTTGTGTGGACAACTAATTTCCCACTGTATAGCTATATCACGTTTTTTTTGATTGTTCAAATGTTTTTTTAGGTCTGGGAAGGTGGCTCAGTGGTAGAGCGCTTGCCTTGCATGCATGAGGCCCTGGGTTCGATTCCTCAGCACCACATAAGCAGAAAAAAAAAAGCCAGAAGTGGCACTGTGGCTCAAGTGGTAGAGTGCTAGCCTTGAGCTGAAGAGCTGAAGGACAGCACCCAGGCCCAGAGTTCAGGCCCCACGACCAGACTCAAAGAACAAACAAACAAACATTTATTTCTATTCTGATCAGTCTTGCAATGAGTATTTTTATGCAAAGTTTTGTGTGGATACATGAATATGTGTAGACTGAGGGAGTGCAGCTACTGACCACACTCTATTTATGTTTAACTTTCATGCAGCTATACCATCACTTCAATCAGCAATGTCAAAGGTATTAACTTCTATTCATTTTTGTCAATATTTGCCTCTGCCTTCATAATTATATTTGTTCTGGATGTAAAGAGCTTTGAGTTACATTTCCTAATGTGAAATAATGACTAATGATGGTACAGCCTATTTCTATGCACTTACCAATCATTGTCTGTCCATCTATTCTCTTTCCTATGTTTTATTAGCATGCAATAGCTACACAAGGAGATTTCACTGTGACACTTCTATGCATGTACACAATGTATTCTATCACCAACCCATCATTTCCCTCATCCTCACCCCATTTCCTAATACAATTCAAGGTTTCATCTTGCCCACTGTAAAATAACCTATTTTTTGGGGGGGGGGGGGGGGGGGGATCCAGACGTGGGGCCTGAACTCTGGGCCTGGGTGCTGTCCCTCAGCTCTTCAACTCAAGGCTAACGCTCTACCACTTGAGCCACAGCGCCACTTCTGGCTTTTTTTTCTTTTTGCTTATGTGGTGCTGGGGAATTGAACCCAGGGCCTCAGACATGCAAGGCAAGCGCTCTACTACTGAGCCACCTTCCCAGCCCAACCTGTCTATTTTTAAGTTGTAAGAGTTTTTTTGGGTCAGTCATGGGGCTTGAACTCTGGGCCTGAGCACTGTCCCTCAGCTCTTCAGCTCAAGGCTAGCGCTCTACCACTTGAGCTACAGCGCCACTTCTGGTTTTCTGGTGATTTATTGGAGATAAGAGTTTCATGGACTTTCCAGCCCGGGCTGGCTATGAACCATGATCCTCAGATCTCAGCCTTCTGAGTAGCTAGGATTACAGGCATGAGGCACCGGTGCCCGGCTGTTGCAAGAGTTCTTTACACATTTTGTAAACAAAAACCTCTTTTAAGAATATCGTTTGTAGATATTCTCTTATTCTGTAGGGTTGTACTTTTGCTTTTTGATGGTATCCTCCTAAACATTAAATTTTTTTCTTTGTTTTTGAGAATCAGTCTCACTACTTACACAGCTCAGGCTGGTCTCAAACTCAGCCTCCTGAGTGCTGGAATTATAAACATGTATCACCATGCTTCGTCCAAGTTTTTTAATTTGGTGAAGTCTGTCAATTTTTTTCCTTTATGTGTGGTGTGTCATATTTTAGATAGCACTTATGGATCCAAGGTCTTAACACTTCAAAACTGCACTAATAATACTACAATTATGTCATTTTAAAAAAGGCCTTGACAGCCGGGGCTGGTGGTTCACATCTGTAATCCTAGCTACTCAGAAGGCGGTTCAAAGCCAGCCTGGGCACAAAAGTCTGTGAGACTCTGATCTCCCATAAACCACCAGAAAATAGGAAGTGGCACTGCGGCTCAAGAGGTAGAGCACTAGCCTTGAAATGAAAAGCTCAGGGACAGTGCCCAGGTCCAGAGTTCAAGCCCCACGATTGACCAAAAAAAAAAAGGCTTTGACTTTCAGAGATGTAAGATGGATGAAATGACATGATACCTGGGATTGTACTTATACCTTAATAACTTTGGGGGTGGGGAGGACAAGGACACAGAGGAAAAAACTTATGGGGATTAACCATGCTGGTTTTCTTTAATTATGACATGAAAGTTGAAAGAGTAAGAAAATCCTATTAGTTATCTAATTAAATATAAAACATTAACTTTGCATGCTGGGTACAGAAAAATTTCCAAATCTAGATTCTCAAGCCCTAATGCCAAGTGTAGCATTAAAACTAAAAGATAAAAAAAGCAAACTTAGGCTGGGAAGATGGCTTAGTGGTGGAATGCTTGCCTTGCATGCATGAGGCCCTGAGTTTGATTCCTCAGCACCACATAAGCAGAAAAGCTGGAAGTAGTGCTGTGGCTCAAGTGGTAGAGTGCTTAGCCTTAAGCTGAAGAGCTGAAGGACACTGCCCAGGCCCAGAGTTCAGTCCCCATGACAGACCAGAAAAAAAAACCAAAAAACCCAAAAACTTAGCCTATGCCAAGACTCAAGAGATGCAAGTTAAAAAATTTTTGCACTGAAAGGACATAATGATTAAGCTAAAAAGACATCCTACAGAATAGATCATCTTTGAGCTATACATCTGATAAGGTTCTAATGACCAAAATGTACAAAAAAAGCTTAAAAAAGTAACCCCCAAAGAAGCAATAACCCAAATATTAAATGAACACAGGAGGTAGCCAGACACGTCTCAAAAAAAAAAAAAAAAGAGGTACAGGTAGGCCAGTAAATATACCAAGAAACATGCATTACCTCTGACTATGAAAGAAATGTTCCATCTCATTCCACTAATAATGGCTACCATAAAAAATCCAAACAATAAATGTGGGGAAGGCTGTGGATGGGGCATATGTGTATGGAGGAATGATGTGAGGCATATATGTGAGGCGTATATTAGGAACCCTAATACACTGATAGGGGGAATATAAGTTAGTGTAGCCACTATGCAAGTCGCTAAAGAAAGTCCTTGGTGCGGGGTGGGAACCCACAAAAAACATAACTATTCTAAGATCCAATGATTTTATTTTATTTTTATTTTTTTTGTCGGTCATGGGGCTTGAACTTTGGGCCTAGGCGCTGTCCCTCAGCTCTTCAGCTCAAGGCAAGCGCTCTACCACTTGAGCTACAGCGCCACTTCCGGTTTTCTAGTGGTTTATTGGAGATAGGAGTCTCACGGTCTTTCCTGCCTGGGCTGGCTTTGAACCGCGATTCTCAGATCTTAGCCTCCTGAGTAGCTAGGATTACAGGCGTGAGCCACCGGCGCCCGGCGATCCAATGATTTTAAAATGACCAATCTAGGTCATTTATCAAGACTGCAAGTCAGCACTCAATAAATTCATCTTCACACCTGTATTCATTATAGCACTATCCATAATAACAAAGTTATGGAAATAGCCTAGATGGCCTAACTGATGAAAATATGATAAAAACACATAAAGGATCACCTGTTTATCTCTACACACACACACACACACACACACACACACACACACACACACACACACACACGAATGATCCAAGTATGGTCAAGGAGTGGGTTTCCTGTTTATCTCTACACACACACACACACACACACACACACACACACACACACACACACACACACACACACACACACACACAACGAATGATCCAAGTATGGTATGTGCCAAGGAGTGGGTTTCCATGACGCAAAACCCTCTGAACAATAGACAGTTTAACAAAATGAATACCAGGAAGCTGAAACATGGCT